CTATGACTTAGAATACCTTAACCCCCTGGGAATGCAGCCCAGTAGGTCTCAGCCTCATTTTATCCAGTCCCTACTCAAGATGGAGTCCCTCTGGTTCAAACACCTCTGACATGCATGGAAGCATCACAGGAAAGTGAGTCCTCAATACCCAGTGAGATTTAGAAGCTATATCCCCTTCTCCATAGGGGAGAGGGAAGTGGGGAATGTAGGCAACTTTTGGAGGAAAAGTAAATAGCTTTTAGGGGAGGTGAATGGAGACAAAGAACAGATAATGGTGTGGGATGAAGTTCATCTGGACTCTGGATGTGGTGTTTGACTTTCAGTCTCTTCCGTGACAAGTTTACTCTTCCTTGGTTGATGAAAAAACAAGGGAGGGGATAGAATACAATTGTGTTCTCTTCTGGCAGATCTTTAGGTAGATAAGGAAACCTCAAAGAAAAAACTCTTCTGGCCTCTGCTGATTCCCAAGTACCTTCAATATAAAATAATCAGCATACCAAGGTGCCATATTTGGGGGTGATATCCCCTGGACTCTTTCGGTCTCATTTAGTTGAAGAACTTAAAGACAGGCAAAGCCTTTAGGAAAGGTGAATCCACATCTGTTTTCCCTATTTGCATTTAGAAAGCCCACTGAATTATAGAGTATCTACCTTAAAAGGTTTAGTCTTCCTACAGAGCAATGGAGAATGTGCTTAAGATCATGAACTCGAGCCAGAATGCCACTTACTAGCTGAGTGGACTTTTGGCAGTTACTTAACCTCTTTGTGCCTCAATTTCCAGTTCTGCAAAATAAGGATAGTAATATCACCTACCTCATTAATACAGTTAAAGGAAATAATGTGCAATTAATGAGTTACATGTAAACTACTTTTAACAGTGCTTGGTATGCAGTCAGCTCTATGAAAGCTTAATGTGATTTTTTAAAAAGTCAGACTTGACAAAGTATATTAGGGTTAAGAATAGTTCTTGCATTATTTCTTCTGCTCAGTACTCTTATCTCTCAAGGTTTTTGTTAATAATAGTTTCTGTTAAGCCTCAACAAGTTAAACTGATGCTTAATGAAATTTATGTTATATTTAAGGGAAAGTAATCTAAATTTCTAAGAAGATAGGTATGGCAAAATAAAAAATATTTGGTCTTTGTCCCTGGTCCCTGGCACAGAGTTTCTCAAGCCCTTGGAAATTACTGGGTTGTTTTTTCTGAGACGGAGTCTTGCTCTCAGGCGGAGTGCAGTGGTGCCATCTTGGGTCACTGCAACCTCTGCCTCCCGAGTTCAAGCAATTCTGCCTCAGCCTCCCAAGTAGTTGGGATTACAGATGCCCACCATCATGCCTGGCTAATTTTTGTATTTTTAGTAGAGATGGGGTTTCACCATGTTGGCCAGGCTGGTCTTGAACTCCTAACCTCAAGTTATCTGCTTGCCTCAATCTCCCAAAGTGCTGGGATTGCAGGCATGAGCCACATGCCTGACCAGAATGTACTGTCTTTTGTATGCTAATGAGAACATATGACTAGAGGATCAGAACCCTCAGCCCTGACCCACAAACTCCAGGGAGGTTACAGGGACTACAGACTGGATCATAAAAACTCCTGAATGATTAGATTTGGAAAGCTTCCAGGCTGGTGCTGTGCTGGGAGGCTGACGTGCTCAAAGAAGGAATGGAAACCCTGTGCCATCCCATCCCATCTCATGGCCTTGGCATTTCCTCCTTTCAGCTGTTCCTGAGTTGTATCCTTGTAATACATCTGCAGTAGTAAACACACACTTTCCTGAGTTCTCCGAGTCATTCTAGAGAATTACTGAGCCTGAGGGATCATGGGAATACCCCAATTTGGAGTTGGCTGGACAGAAGTATGGGTAGTTTGGACACCCTATTTGGTGCTGACAAATGAAGTGGGGGTAGTTCTATGGGAGTGTGGGGTCTGGGCTAACTCCAGATAGCATCAGAACTGTACTGAATTGCTGGACATTCAGTTGGTGTTGGAGAATCGGTTGCTGGTGTTTGAAAAACCACACATTTGGTGTCAGAAAACACTACACAATGGGGTTTCGAGTGGATAAGATGACCTCTGATGACGTCATGTGCCATGGAAATTAATATACAGCAGTCCTTCCCAAAGTCATCTTCCTCCCAGTGTGGAGACTCTCTAAAGAGATGCTGACAGTGCACTGGGAGAAACCCAGATGTAAATGGATGTGTGCGTACATGCTGGGGTTTAAAAATATGAGCATGGGCTGGGCACAGTGGCTCACGCCTGTAATCCCAGCACTTTCGGAGGCGGAGGCGGGTGGATCACCTAAGGTCAGGAGTTCGAAACCAGCCTGGCCATAACATGGCGAAACCCTGTCTCTACTAAAAATACGAAAATTAGCTGGGCATGGTGGCATACGCCTGTAGTCCCAGCTGCTTGGGAGGCTGAGGCAGGAGAATCACTTGAACCCGGGAGGCAGAGGTTGCAGTGAGCCGAGATCATGCCACTGCACTGCAGCCCGGGTGACAGAGCAAGACTGTCTCAAAATAAAAAAAAATAAAAAAAATTTAAAAAAATATGAGCATGAACTCTTTGATGCCATTCCCTTCAAAAGGTAGAGCCTAATTCCCCATCCCTTCAGTGTAGAATGGACTTAGTGACTCACTTCTAACAAATCAAATTCAGCGGAAATGATCGTGTACAACCTCAGAGACTAGGTCATGAAAGGCCCTGTGGCTTCCGTCCTCTCTGGGATCACTCATTCTGGAGAAAGCCAGCTGCCATGTCAAGAGAACACCCAGGTAGCCTTGTAGAGAGGCTCATGTGATGACAAACTAAGGCCTTCTGGCAACAATCATGTTAGTGCGCCATCTTGGAAATGGATACTGCAGCCCCAGCATCAGCTAAGACACACACAGATTCTTGATTCTCAGAAACTGAGTGAGCTAATAAGATGTGTGTTGTTTTAGTTTTGGGGGTAATTTGTTACACAGCATACATAACTACTACAGTGTGTCCTTATGGATGAAGTGAAGTTTCATCACTGTTTCCAGACCTTACACTATTCAATTGGCGAAGATCCATCATCTTGACCAAACAGCTAGTGCCAGATCGCAATAAGATGATTTGATAAAATGGTTTCTCTTTTTTCCCTGTCCAGTTACTACCTCATGTCACATGGATGTCTGCATTCTCCTAATCACTTAGCTTATTTGTCTAGAATATTTGGGATGTAGTTTCAGTATAGTCTCAAGTGAGACAGAGTGCCACTAGGAGAAGGCTGACAGCCTGGCTATGCAGAAGCCCCAAAGAGTGAAGTCTGCAGTCATCTGTCTGAGCTTTGGTTCTCTATCTTGAAGAATCAGAAACTATGTTTCATTAGAATATTCAGAAATTCATAGACTAAACTGACAAACTTGGGGGCAGAACCACACAAAACAAAATTCACGAGACTGACGTATAAACCAGAGAATTTCTCTAAATTTACTATGTCCAGAATGAAATTTTGGTGCCCTTATGCAGAATTCTCCCTCTTCCTGAACAATAATAGCTTAAAGGCCATATTAACAATCAGAAGATGGTTCAGTTAGACTTGTAATTAGTGCCAAAAGAAGTGGCAAGTCTCAAGGTATGTTCTCCCTAAGCCACATACCTTGGGTCTTGATAAACTAGTCCTAACTGAAGTAGGGCACACTTTGGGTCACTGAATTACTCACATCTCTTGGATGCAGGACTTCCTTTTCATGGATAACACTGTATACACACTGTCATATTTTGTTTCTTCAAATCCCATTTTGGTGAGTTGATAATTTTGGTTATTTTCTTTCTTCAAATGAGTTAATATCATGTAACAACCTACAGTGTACCTGGGAAGCATTGAGACTCTCCTCACTATCTGTTGATTCTCTGGTGGTTTCTTCTTATCAAGTCCTTAGAAGGTATCTCACTGTTGCCCCACATAGTACCTGTGTAGTTTGGAAAGGCCATTTACTTAGCATATCAGAGCCTGTCCAGAGAGAATACATTAGAACCAGTATAGAATTTCAAAGACTGTCTTGTAATTTCTGATTTCTTTTATCTAGAAGATTTCCATGATCAACAACATTCTGAACTGATCACCAGGGGGTTGAAAAATGAATAAATAGCAGTTAACAGAAATAGGGCATTTATGTTCTCCTTTTCAAAAGCTCAATGTTTCATCCACTACAGTATAGTTTTCCAGGTTTAGTCGTGAGTATTCTTACCAAAATCATTCCAATTTCAAACAATTGGGCTAATTTGCGCTGTCAGATTCAGAAATTCAAAAATATATTTTTCTCTATTCACAATTAAAAATTAAATTTTGAGTCAGGAGTTTGAGACCAGCCTGGGCAACACAGCAAGATCCTGTCTCCACAAAAAATTAAAAACCATAAAAAAGCCAGACATGGTGGCTTATGCCTGTAGTCCCAACTACTCAAGAGGCTGAGGCGGGAGGATCACTTCAGCTTGAGGAGGTCAAGTGATCCATGCGAGCAAAGATTGTGCCACTGCACTCCAGCCTAGGTAACAGAGTGAGATCCTTGTCTCTAAAATAAATAAATAAAAATTAAATTTTGAGAAAATATCTTAGTATTTTAGTATCTTAGTATTAGTCAATACCTACTAATTCAAAAGTTGAGAAGTATGTTCCAGTAAATGTATACTTGAATTACTTTGAAAATTTGGAATTATAAAATTCTCAACATCTTGCTCACTACAGACAATAGAATAATAAAGCTCAATGATGAGTGATTAGTACTATGCTAAAATATTAACAATTTCAGAAACTTGTATAAATTTCAAAATTTCTTTTCGTTTCATTGTCCTCAGAAACCCAAGAATGCCACTCATTTGTATTCTACTGAAGACATCTTTCCCTGATTACTTTTGTTTTACCAAAAAGAAAAAAACTGTATTTTTCTTAAAAACAAAGTGAAGTCTAAATTAATTCAATAGCTACTGAAATTTCACCTGAAATTTTAAACAGCTACAAATCCACAAGAGGAAAAAGTAAACACATTAGCTTTAATACAACTAGTACATAATAAAAATTAAGAGAAAAGATTAATTCAAATAGAAAACCTGATTATGCCCACTAAAGGCGCTGTTATCAGCCTTTTTATTCAGTTTAGTCTATGCTAGAATGTAAATACATAACAGTATGTCTTTTCTTGTCATGGTAGTCTTTCACATAACTAAAATTTGTGGCAGCAGTTTATACAACAAAAGAAAAGCTAAATCTGTAAATTATCAGAAAAGAAGCAAGGATATTTGAAAATAATACATTTATATAAATTACAAAGGACAGTTACAATGAAACTCCATTAGTTTCCTCTCAACCCAATTTTACAAAATACAGTGAACACATATTATTCTGTGCGTTGTTAAGAGTGCATAAACACTGTGGGCCCATTCAAAAGACAGTGGTCAAAGACAAAATGTTATCTTCATGTCATATACTGTTCTTAGTTCTTTACTGGAGTTGAGCTTCCTTTCATAGTCTTCTTTAGGTGGTGGTAATTTGGCAAGATTTTCATCAAGAAATCCAGCTGTAGTGTCTGGGGCTAAAAAGATAAGGTAATTAAGGCTGGCTGGCAGAAAGCAAAGTCAAGAGTACCACGCAGCGACCAGGCGTGGTGGCTCATGCCTGTAATCTCTGCACTTTGGGAGGCCCAGAGAGGATGATGATTAGAGCCCAGGAGTTCCAGACCACCTGAGCAACATAGGGAGATCTTGTCACTACAAAAAATTTAAAAATTAGCTGTGTGTGGTGGCACGCCCCTGTAGTCATAGCTATTCAGGAGGCTGAGGTGGAAGCAGGGTGGCGGGGGTGCAGGTGGATTGAGCCCAGGAGGTTGAGGCTGCAGTGAGCCATGATTGCGCCACTGCACTACAGCCTGGGTGACAGAGCCAGACCCTGTCTCAAAAAAAAAAAAAAAAGTTCCAGGTAGCAATGGTTATTAATAAATAAGTTGTGGAATTATAGGTGATTTTCATTGACTCAATTTTGCTTACCTGCTCGTTTTTTTAAAATTTATAATGAACATATGCTAAGTCTGGTTACAAGAAAAAGCCAACAGATTTTATATATTTATATAAAAATATATAGAAGTCACTTTTCAAACTCGCTTTTGTAGATTTCATCTTGGCTTCTGAAAAGTTAAAAAGTTCCAATTACAGAAGACCACATAAGTAAAACACCCATAGTATTTTGTTTTCCATGTGACCTACAGAGCCACACAGCTGAGGTGTACTTGGATACACCTGTCTGATCTTCATTCTTCATGTATTAGTACTGCCCAGATTTTCCTGATTGTAAAACTCACTGCAGTACTTGTAAAAAATATAACTTTTTAGGCCCCTGCCCTAGCACTGTGACTCAATAAGTCTGGGGAATCTTTATTTTTAATAAAGACCTCTATATAGTCCTTATGATCAGTGAAATGTGGAAGACAATATTGCATATTATAAAATAATAAGTTTCAGATATTCTTGCTCACTTAATTCTAATCTCCCTTCCCCAACACCAGCTTCATTTCCCAGTCTTCAGTCATTTTTGCTGTTATGTAGAAAGTAAAAAAATGACTAGATTTGGCGTTATTTCCTTTTTAGTCTATAGAGTAATACTTGCTTATAATAATAATAATAATGAAGCCAAACATTACAGAAATAGAGTAACCCAGAAAGAACTGGAGTTTTGATTCCTGATAAAATATGGCTAAGAATCAGAGGCATAGTTATGTTTTGAAACCATTCTTTTTTTTTTTTTTTTTTCTTTTTTTGCGACAGATCCTCACTCTGTCAGCCAGGCTGGAGTGCAGTGGTACAGAGCTTACTGCAGCCCTGACCTCCTGGGCTCAAGTGATTCTCCCACCTCAGCCTCCCAAGTCACTGGGACTACAGATGAATGCCACCAGGCCCAACTGATGATTTTTTATTTTTTGTAGAGATGGGGGTCTCATGATGTTGCCCAGGTTGGTCTTGAACTCCTTCCTGGGCTCAAGTGATCTGCCTGCCTTGGCCTCCCACAGTGCTTGAAACTATTTTCTTTAGTGGGAAGAAAAGGAGGCTAGGTAACTGAAGAAATATATATCAAATGTGCCAAGCAATGAGGCTCAAAACTGTAATACAAATGTCTTATGTCCAAAGGAAGCCCAAATGCCCTTTTTCATCTCCTACTCTAATATTAAACTCCAAATATTTACTCGACATTATTCTTGATCTGAGTTTCTAGGAGGAGATAATTTTTCAAGCCAGGAAAATATACAAACATACTTTCTTATTCACAAACTGTGTTTATTATGAAGCTATGGCAATAAACTAAATAGACACACCCCAGGTAGAGGCACAGGATAAATGTAGTATGGTCATTCCTTAACTTTGAAGACTGATATTTTAGGAGTAAATCAATATGGCTTGTACGGTTTGTTTATGCATTGTCAGTGACAATGCATGAGACCAAGAGTAACATTTCTGGATCTTTTCTCATAACTGACCTGTCATCGTCATCCTTGTATATATTTTTGATATTAACCTAAAGACTAAATAATTGAACTGCAATTAAATCCTGGTTTTTCGGGATGTTTCTCATTGTTTTCTTTTTATTTATTTATTTTTTGAGTTGGGGTCTCTGTTGCTCAGGCTGGAGTGCAGTGGCATGATCATGGTTCACGGTAATCTCACACTCAAGCATTATCTTCCCACCTCAGCCTCCTCAGTAGCTGGGCTATAGTCATGTCCCACCACACCTGGCTAAGTTTTTCTAGTTTTTGTAGAGACAGAGTCTCACTATGTTGCCCAGGCTGGTCTTAAATTCCTGGCCTCAAGTCATCCTCCTGCCTCGGCCTCCCAAAGTGCTAGGATTCCAGGCATGAGTCATTGAGCCTGGTTTCTTTTATTTTAATTATGTTCTTCTTAAATAGTGTACCTGCTGCCTCATGAAGACAATTACATTGTATTTTGGGAAAATTAGCAGATAGAACTCTTTTTAAAGAGAGGTTCTAGTACCTGTGGTCGCTCAGTCTGCACCCGACGAAGGCAGTCTGCACCATAGATCACCGTATTCTCAGGGATGACTTCAAATGTATTTAGGTTGCAACAAGCCCCAATGATGCAGCCACTTGTCAGTATTACATTTCTGCCTACATATGCTGTAATAAAAACATAGAAAGAACTGCAACTTAAGACATCAAATGATTGCAACACTTTTTTTCCTAAGATGATTTAGGTATAAAAATGTAAACTGGCCTTAAGAAAAAAGTTAAAGAAAATACATCAGTTTGGAGTTTGTATGGACAACACAGAGGCAGGCAGTACAAGCCAGGGTCAGATGGATTCAAAATGGAGCTCTGCTGCTATTTGTGTGACCTTGGGAAAGTCACTGCAAAGTCTCTAAGCTCAAGTTCATCTATAAAACGAAGAGGCCACTCTACCTCACAGTTTAAGGAATAATGCAATAACAGATGTAAAGTGATGAGCACAGGTTTGAAACACAGTAAGCATAAAATAAACAGAAAATGCTGATGATAATAGTGATAATTGATAATCCAAATTAAAATAAAAGTCATTAAGTAGATTAACACAAAGTATCATTTTATTATTTAAAAAAGCAGCATTTTCTTTCATGCCACTCAGGACCAAGAAAGATAACCCACTATTCTAAAGAACTGGCATCATCCAGGTTCTTTCTGGACCTTGGTGGGACAAGCTCTTGAAGTTGCTTCCCAGTAGTGACACTGACTTTACATAATCTCCTGTCTGGTCCCACTTACAAGCTCATGATATTGGTTTCTGATTGGTTAGGGAAAAGTATTCCTGAAATTAAAGAAAGCAACTGCTAGAGACACTGTGATTTTTCCCCTCCTTTAATTCTACAACAACACTAACCAACTAAAATTTCAGGGACTAGTATTTAGTAGAAATCTTTTCCAAATCTTTCATTTAAACTTTATGGTTTAATTCAATCCTGTACACAGCTGATTTTAAATTTAATGTATTTAACATTACCAGACAACCATATAACCAGATTAGGTTCCTTAGTGGCAAAGAATTAGTTTGCTAGCTATTGTACCCCCTTCCAAGCACACCACCTTGCCAGTTTGTATTAGGTTGTTTCCCAGGACAACACAAAGAGAAAAGAGGTCACTACTTTGACAATAAAACTCTGAAAGTAGCTTACCTTTTGATTCAATGACATTATTATCTCCCATCTTCATAGCTTGGGAATCTGTAAGCCAGAGTTAGGTAAATACTATAAATATGTTCACCTTTAGTCCCCACTAACACAGTATGTTTTTATATTGCACTGGGACAGAGGACAGGGGTGTCAGATGGGCCATGCAGGCTCACCCTTGCCAGAACTCTTTGCTCTGGGCAATCTGTGGTAATGGTTTAATCTTTAAACATAAGTATCTCTAGGTATAAATAAATGATTTGTGTTTTTGAAGAAACAAGTCCTTATACTCTGATTTTATGAGTATTTTCATAATTGTTTCAAGATAATTAAAATTATCCATCACCCAATCACTTAAACACTGTTAAAAGTTTGATATATCTTTATATAAATATATAGAATTTCCTGTATATAAGTGGGAATCAAACTGTATAAACTTTTATAGCTTATTCAGTTCACTTAAATTTGCAAGCATTATTCCACGCTATTAAAATCTTTAGGCCAGGGAGGGTGGCTCACATCTGTAACCCCAGCACTCTGGGAGGCCAAGGTGGGAGGATTGCTTGAGCCTACGGGTTCAAGGACTAGCTTGGGCAACAGAGTGAGACATCATCTCTACCAAAAGTAAAATTAGCTGGGCACGGTGGTGTGCACCTATAATCCCAGCTACTTGGGAGGCTGAGATGGGAGGATTGCTTGAGTCTGGGAGCTGAGGCTGCAGTAAGCTATGATTATGCCACTGCATGCCAACCTGGGTGACAGAGCAAGATCCTGTCTCAAAAAAGATAAAGTAAAATCTTTGAAAACATAATTTTAAATGACTGCTTAATGGTCCTAGTGGTTTTATGCTCATAGTTCAATTTATTTAAATATCTTGCTATCGTTGAACATTTAGATTTTTCCTTGTAAATATTTTCTACTATATATTGTATGTTTTGCTGACGTCATAAGATTTTACTATCTTTTTTTTTTTTTTTTAAATCTTTTTGAGACGGAGTTTCGTTTCACTCATTGCCCAGGCTGGAGTACAATGGCGCAATCTCGACTCTCACAACCTCCGCCTCCCAGGTTCAAGTGAGTCTCCTGCCTCAGCCTCCCGAGTAGCTGGGATTACAGGCATGCACCATCACGCCCGGCTAATTTTGTGTTTTTAGTAGAGACAGGGTTTCTCCATGTTGGTCAGGCTGGCCTCAAACTCCCAATCTCAGGTAATCCGCCCGCCTCGGCCTCCCAAAGTGCTGGGATTACAGGCATGAGCCACCGCGCCTGGCCTGATTTTACTATCTTTTTAGAGTACTAAACTAAGCAAAAGAACTGGAGACATTCTGGGGGAGGGGGAAAGACAACACATGAATAATGGACTATTTTCACCCCTACACACCATTTTCTTGAATCAGACAATGTGTTGTCTACCTAAAAGTATGTAGGAGACACACTGACAAAGTTGGGATTCTTGAATCAAGAAGGAAGCCAGCATTGCTATTTCTATGTTTATTGTCACTCAGCCATTGCTACCTGTCAACCAGCAAAAGTGGTTACTTTCAAAGTGCTGAGCTAAAGATACGTGTGTGTCTGCGTTTGTCTAAAAACGGCATACTTACTTTACTCTATTGACTTATTTACAGGAACAGAAGGGACCATTTTAAACATATATACTATTCAAAAAGTCTGTTCAAAGAGCTAGGTGACTTACTTTTATTTATTTTTATTTTTATTCTTTTTTGAGATGGAGTCTCGCTCTATCACCCAGGCTGGAGTGCAGTGGCACAATCTTGGCTCACTGCAACCTCTGCCCCCTGAGTTCAAGCGATTCTCCTGCCTCAGCTTCCTGAGTAGCTGGAATTTCAGGCATGCGCCACCGTACCCAGCTAATTTTTTAATTTTTTTTTTTTAATAGTAGAGATAGGGTTTCAACATGTTGGCCAGGCTGGTCTTGAACTCCTGGCCTCAAGTGATCTGCCCACTTTGGCCTCCCACAGTGCTGGGATTACAGGCATGAGCCACCGCACCCAGCCTGGATGACCTACTTTTAAAAATATAATATATATTATGAATGTAAGTATATTTGATAGCCAAATTGTGACAGTTTTACAATTTCTACAGAAGACTTAGGTACCAAAGGACAGCTGGGAATTATTTATGGTAGATTATTGTAAAGGATACAACAGCCAACTTCAAACACATTATTGGTGCCAATGATCATAGGTTTTGGTTCTTTAAATGACTGCTTAATGGTCCTAGTGGTTTTATGCTCATAGTTCAATTTATTTAAATATCTTGCTATCGTTGAACATTTTCTTCCCATTTTCGAATTTGGTTTTTTTTTTTTTTTTTTTTTTTGAGACGAGTCATTTGCTCTGATTGCCCAGGCTGGAGTGCAGGTGGCCGGATCTCAGTCACTGAAGCTCCCCTCCCGGGTCTACGCAATTCTCCCTGCCTCGCCTCCCGAGTAGCTGGGACTACAGCGCCTGCCACCTTCGCCCGGCTAGTTTTTTTGTATTTTTTGGAGAGACGGGGTTTCACTTAGCGTTAGCACAGGCTGGTCTCGATCTCCTGACCTTCGTTATCCGCCCCGTCTCGGCCTTCCCAAAAGTGCTTGGGATTACAGGCTTGGAGCACCTTGTGCCCCGGCCGTTGGTTAATTCTTTGAAATTTTACCTACATCAAGCCTTAAAAGAATATGGACACTATTGGTTTTGTTTGTTTTGGGTTTAAGTTATTTCTTTTTTTGTTGTTGTTGTTTTTTTTTTATTTTGGATATGGAATCTCACTCTATCACCCGGCTGGTGCTGTGGTGCGCCATCTTGGCTCACTGACCCTCCATTCTCCCGCGGTTCAAAGAGATTCTCTCGCTCACTCTCAGCCTCCAAGTAGCTGGGAACTACAGGCCACGTGCCCACTAGGCCCGGCAATTTTGTATTTTTGTAGAATTGGGGTTTCAAACCATGTTGCCCAGGCTGGGTCCGAACTCATCTCAGGTGATCCACTAGTCAGGGCCTCCCAAAAGTGCTGGGATTACAAGGTGTGAGCCACCACGCCCAGAGCCTATGTAAGTTTATTTCTTAATTTAAGTCATTCTTCATCCTGTATGCTAGAGCAGGCTTGATTTTGGAGTTGAAGAGTAGCTTACTGAAATAATGAAGAGTACAGGTGTGTAGAGAGAACAAGCCTTCCCTTAGTTTATTTATTTTAGTTTATTTACTGTTTTTGAGATGGAATCTTGCTGTGTCGCTCAGGCTGAGAGTACAGTGGCCAATTCTTGGCCTCACTGCACCTCTGACCTCCCAGTCTTCAAGTGATTCTCCTGCCTCAGCCTTTCCAAGTAGCTGGGAGTTACAAGGTGGGGTGCCACCATGCCCGGGCTAATTTATTTTTTGTATTTTTCAGTACGAGACAGGGTTTCACCATGATTGGTGCAGGGCTGGTCCTGAACTCTGATCTCATTCATGATCCATCTGCCTTGGCCTCCCAAAGTGCTGGGATTACCCGTGTGAGCCACCACGCCCGGCCTACTTTAGTTTATTTTTTAAATTCAAAGTCCAGTGGGTCTTCTCCAGGACTAAGGAAAAAAGATGCTAGCTATCTTTTTAGGCTGTTAACTAGAATCAAAATCATGCCTAACTTGAAAATTTTCCACTCTTAATAATTATTTGGGATTGTGAAACATAAACAGATATTCACATAAAATAATTATTGCTGTTAGCTAGTTGAAATACTTGGAAGATAAAATGTTTGTGTTCTAAGAAGAGGACGCCATTTTTAAATGGTGTTTTATCTCTGACAGTTGAGTTACTGCAGAATATAGCTGCTGTTAATTGACTTACACTGAAGGTGCCAAATGTATTTTAAATTCTAAGTAAGCATTAAATCAGTCTGTTTCTGACAGTTAAATATTTTCCCAAGGTCTTTCTTACAAATTCCATACACGGTTGCTATAAATTAGGTATAAACTTGAATTCCTTCCCAAAATTTTATCTAGAAAGAACTTATAAATGTTTATGAAAAATTCATGGGTTTTACAGTCTGGTTCACTATGATCATGCACATGTTCTAGTATTTTATTATTTTTTAATCTTTACAGTTAAAAAATTGCCTCTAGGACTCCACATTTTTCAACTATAATTCTGCGTGTCACCTGTGCAAAACATGTGAAAAAATATATTAGAGTTAAATTCACATGTTTAGGCATGACTAATAACATTTCGGCTAGAACTGAAAAATCCAAAAAAACTCTCTGCAGGGTGATGGGCACAGCACTGGGAGGCTTGAAGTGCTCAGGAAATGTTTGCTTAAGGAATGGGTGAGAAAGCCACATGTAAGGGGAAGATGACCAGGCCCAGCATCAAAGATTCTAGGCAGCTACTCAGCTCTCTCATCTTGGACAAGTCTTTTCCCTCATATGGTTTTTGGTTTGCTTATTTACTTATGTTGAAAAAGACCCTTAATGTTTCTCTAGCTCTAAAATAGTACGCATCCTGGATGTCCGTTGAAAAGGGTCTTACAGACAGCTAAAATTAAGAAAAACCATTACCCATGGTCCTTGGTTCACAGTATGTATAAGAGTCTTACTCACGCATTTATGATGAGGGCCTGTTCTTCTATTAGGTTCCCTTCGCCAATCACTATTGGCCCAGCTTCTGCAATAATTCGTGCTTTAGGGTGGATCACTGTCCGAGGTCCTGTTAAAAATAGTTTGAGAAGAAATTAGTGGTGGAGGCTATGCTTCCAACAGGAGGGTGGAAGGTGACTGAGGATGGGTGAGGCTGTTGGGAGGAACATTTTCTAAGTATGTGCCAGGCACCAAGCTAGGTACTTCACAGATACTATCTCCCGGGCTTTATCATCAGTAGTCAGGGCCAAGTTGCAAGCAAATGTGAGTGGAATGGCACAGGCACTACAGCCAGACAGCTCTGGCTCAGCCTCCACTCGGAAGCTTCCCGTGATCTCAGTGGTGAAACAGAGGTGATGACAACACCAGTCCCACAGGGTTGCTGTAAGGGCTAGGGGTGATAATGTTGGGAGACACAGCATGTGACACAAAGTTGGCAATAAAAATTAATTCCTTCTTTTCCCTCAGCAAGGTAAGGCTCTCTTTGCTTAACATGTTCTGCTTTCTTATGTGAGTGTGCCTCCAAATTAGTCTTTTTATTACATAATTAAGAAGAAATATGGAGGCCAAGATGGGCAGATCGCTTGAGGTCAGGAGTTCGAGATCAGCCTGGCCAACATGGCAAAACCCCATCTTTACCAAAAAATACTAAAATGAGCCAGACATGATGGTATGTGCCTGTAGTCCCAGCTACTTGGGAGGCTGAGGCAGGAGAATCATGTGAACCCAGGAAGCAGAGGCTGCAGTGAGCTGAGATCATGCCACTGTACTCTAGCCTGGGTGACACAGCAAGACTCTGTCTCAAAAAAAAAAAAAAAAAAGGAGAAACATGGGTGGACAGAAGTCAGAAATTATGGGATCTAACAGCTTTGCTCCTCTGTCAGTGTCCCTATTACGAGCACACCTACTGAAAGGAGGCACAGCTTCTGCCGTCTGGCCCAGGATATGATTCAAACCAGTGAAAGCTGAAAAGGTTAAAGGGAGGCAGCAGAAGGACCCAAAGGTGATCACTGGAGTCCTAGGACTTTGGTGTGGGGAGCCCTGAGGCGATGCCTCCAGTCTCAAATTGAAGGGAACAGCCAGGGCCCTCATTACTCTCACTTCACCAGCACAGTACCCGCCCTGAGCCTGGAATGCTAACACACTCCCTCCCAGCTTTATCTACCACAGGCTGAGGGTTCTGGTGATAATGAAACCATTGATGGGAAAACATAGCCTCCTTCAGCCTCTCTCCAATACCCATCCCATGTACCCCCCCCAAGGCAATTTTTATGGGTAAACACAAGCAGATGAAATAACTGACTCTGAAAGTAAGGGAGGGTGGACAGAAGTGTTGACGGAGGGGGTGCGGGATTGGAAAGTGACACTGTCCAAAAAATTCAGTATTCAATTGTGTAAATTGGTTTGTTTTTTTTTTTTAGAGACAGGGTCTCATTCTATCACCCAGGCCGGAGTATAGTAGCGTGATCATAACTCCCTCCAGCCTTCAATTCCTGAGCTCAAGCAATCCTCCTGCCTCAGTTTCTTGAGCTGCTGGAACTACAGGCACATGCCACCACATCCAGCTAATTTTTAGAGATGGGGTCTCACTATGTTGCTCAGGCTGGTCTTGAACACTTGGCCTCAAGAAATCCTCCTGCCTCAGCCTCCCAAAATGCTGGGATTACAGGCGTGAGCCACTGTGCCCCACCTAATTATATAAATTGTCAATTCATAATTATTATCTGCCTGTGACAGCTGAGATGCCCCACTATATGATATGGGGCAACAAAAATAAATACATGTTATTTTTGTCCTTTTGAACTTTTTATCTTGAAAACTGGGAATGCTTAATATACACTCATTCACAAATGTACTAAAAATAAGGAGGTGTTTCTGATGCCCAGAGAATTGGAGAGAACCTCAGGGACGCCTATTCTTTTTCCTGATGAGGAATTGCTGGAGGTTGATAAGGAGGGTGGGGGCCTAAAACAGGCTGCTCAGTCCAACACCCCAACATTTCTTATCAGGACACACAGTCTGGTAAGAAATAACAAGAGAGTGGCCTTGATCTCTCAGTCACTTCTGGCTTTCCAAATCTTCAGCTTTTAAAGTAAAATTTCCCAGGCACATTCTCCTATTCAGGATGGAAGATTTCAGGATAGAAGATGGGATGGATCTCTGAGATCCCTGGGAAGCTTCTCAAGTTGAACATGAGTGTAAATGTGTGCATCTAATCTTTTATTTAAAACAAACAAAAAATATATATGCATATATATACACACATATTCACATAGCTATATACATATTTATATAATAACATGATCATTACAAAAAATTCAAACAAAGCAAAAAGTGAAAGATCTTCTTATGCTAATCTCATTCCCCAGAGGTAACTACTCTTAAAAATTTGGGGTATATTATTCCAGATGTAAGCTCCACTGTACACTTAAGATATGTAAATACTGCTGTGGGTGGTGGCTCATGCCTGTAATCCCAGCACTTTGGAAGGCCGAGGTGGGTGGATCACTTGAGGTCAGCAGTTCGGGACCAGCCTAGCTAACATGGTGAAACCCTGTCCCTATGAAAAATACAAAAAAATTAGCCAGGCAGGGTGGTGCACACCTGTGGTCTGAGCTACTCAGGAGGCTGAGGTGGGAGGATTGCTTGAACCTGGAAGGCGGAAGTTGCCATGAGCCAAGATCACACGACTGCACTCAGCCTGGGTGACAGAGTGAGACTCCGTCTCAAAAAAAAAAACAATAAAAAAAAAAATCTGTAAATATCACTCCATATAAGCTATATCTCATTAAAAAATTTAAAAATAAATATGATTTGGAAAAAAATATGCATTTCAAGCACACTTCTTTCAAACCAAGAAATAGTACCTATTCTTCTACAATTTGCTTATTTCATGGTAATTTTTCCATGTAAGTATATCTAGATAGATACTCTTTTTAATGGCTGAAAAGTATCTCATTTTATATTAATATACCATAATTTATTTCATAGGTCCCTTAATAATGGCATTTTAGACATCACCACTTTCGGGGCTGAGGCCCCAAACGACAGGGAAACGAGCAGTGGATTTCTTTTAAAGGAGAAACTGTAAGGCTTCCAGCTGTGGGAACCAACTGAAATGTATAGTTTGCACCATACCAGGTTTATATTTTACGTCAAAATAGTCTATGATAACAGGACACAATCTGCCTCTTTTAGGTTCTTTGTAATCAAAGCCCCAGCCAGCCCCACCCCCTGCCTTGTCTAGAAAGTCTAGACACCGGACTCTATCACCTAAAGGTGACGTGCTTACTCTCACAAAGGCGTGTTTTCTCATCTATAAAAAGAAGAGATCTGTAACCTACTTCATTGGGCTCAAATGTGGATTATATGAAATAATGTTTGAAAGAGGGATTGTGGGGTCTGGACCATGGTTCTTAAAAAATGGGATATTTATCACTATTTACTACTAAGAGCTAATGCATAACTTTTTCATAGTAAGCAAAATAACTAGTTCTGGTCTGGGACACAGAAGAAAAAGAACCGCTTTGCACCTCTACTCAGGTATCAGGGTAATACCTCCTGTTAGCCAAGGGGAAAAATTCCACACCACATGATCAGACAGTAAAAAGATTAATGAAAGTATTTTCCATAACTAGCTTTAAAAATCTTAGATATGGGGCTGAGCACAGTGGCTCACACCTGTAATCCCAGCACTTCAGGAGACTGAGGTGGGAGGACTGAGGTGGGAGTTCCAGACCAGCCAGGGCAATGAGTCACACCCGCTTCTCTACAAAATGAAAAATTAAAACAAAATTGGCCAGTTATGGTGCGGTGCACCTGTGGTCCCAACTACTCGGGAGGCTGGGGCAGGAGGATTGCTTCAGTCCAGGGGTTCAAGGCTACAGGGAACAATGATTGTACCACTGTACTCCAGCCTGGGCGACAGAGTAAGACACTGTCTCTGACAGTGTCTTTTTTTTTTTTCTGAGGGGGAAAAAAAAAGATAGGAGGAAGTGATCGTCACGTCTGTGACAGAAAGCAGATCCTTTGCCACTGCTAGATAAGTAGCCAGAGACACTAGATATTCTGCCGGTCATCAAGCTGTAGCTCTTGACAAGACAAAGATACCCCTGGGACCTGTGTGTTTCTTTAAAACTTATGAAAACAAGTGATACTTTCATTTTTCCCTTTCAAAAATGACTAATCCATGTTTCTTACATAAAGAACCCAAACAAATAAGCACACTTTTTAAAAATTTTAAAACTTTTTTTTCACAGAAGATACAAGAAGCACACATTTTAAAAAACCAAAATAGGCCAGGCGTGGTTGCTCACGTCTGTAATCCCAGCACTTTGGGAGACCACAGCAGGTGGATCACTTGAGCACAAGAATTTGAGACCAGCCTGGGCAACATGCCAAAACCCCGTCTCTACTAAAACACCAAAATTAGCTGGGCATTGTGGCGGGCATCTGTAATCCCAGCTACTTGGGAGGCTGAGGCAGGAGAGTCACTTGAACCCGGGAGGCAGAGGTTGCAGTGAGCTGAGATTGCACCACTGCACTCCAGCCTGGGTGACAAAGTGAGACTCTGTCTCAAAAAAAAAAAAAAAAAAAAATTAAAATAAACCTAAGTCCTGTAAGACGTCTTACACAATATTTAAAAAATAATATGTGAACTATTTTAAGCACGTATTTTATTATTATTACTGTCTGTATCATTATTAATAATTATTAAACAAGTAACTGGAAAATGCCTGGTTAGAAATCTGAGGGCTGTGTCCAGAGAGGGAGAGAAAGCACCGCTGCATTTAGGTGAGACCAGTGATTTAGACACCACCTCCACCTGCTGGCAGCATTGCAAACTACAGGTCCCAGTGTTAAGCGGCTGAAATAAAAGTTTGAGAAACGATCAACTTTAAATTGTGAGGTGACAGCAAATGTCACAGGCAACAATATATCAAATAGGTTCTCTCAACTTCTTGTGGGTCTTTTCTGGGCACAGACTGAAGTGGTTAGCATAAGCGGACTTCAGGATATGTAACCGCTAAGATTTTGGTTTGGTGAACTTTTTTCTTTTTGGATACAGAG